TCTCTGGGAAAATCATTTAAATATAAAATATCTTGACTAAAATATTTTACTTGTTATTTATATCTTTTCCAAAACGTGAAGCATAATTATAGATATATAGATATGTATTTTGTAAGGTAAAACTTTGATCTTGATCACTAAGTAGTAAGTGAGATTATGTGTGTCAAATATTTAGCTGCTAATACAATAAAACTTTTGCATATCCTCTTCTTCATCTATCTCCTTTCCTCTGTCCTGCTGGTTGGTGAAAATCACTCTTTACTGCTGTCAGTCATCATGGCCCTTAAGAGAATTGGATATATGATGGTGGCTGGAGTTGCAGGCACAAGGAAAAAGGACTAACTTTTGTTGAGCAACTGTCATGTACTGAGTCATACATGAGGTGATTTTACATATCTTTCATTTGTTAGAGCTATAAGTTATCTTACAATATAGATGTGATTATCCACATTTTACATTTGAGAAAACTTGGCAGGAAAGAGATTCTCACAACTCGCCAAAGTTCACAAAGCTTAGGAAAGGTTAAAGTGTAGATGTGAAATGTATGCCTTCATCGAGATCACTGTATGGAAAGAAGAATCCTTGTCTCTAAATGGGTGTTAAGCTCTTGATTTCTTTCAAGATTCTTCTCCTGCCTCTACAAATTTTCCTGAACTTAAGCAACACCAGATAAATGGGCCATGATCAAAGAAGTTTTCCTTCAATTAAACAAAAGACAAGCATAAGTTTTCTGATGCCATGTATCAGCTATAATGAAGGCCAGATTTCCTCCCAACTTTACTGAAGTCTCCTGTAAGAGACAGTGGTGTGCTACTGTGGACTGAGCATAGTACTTGGACTCAGAACACCGTGATAGTGATTGATCTTCCTCTAGGTTTGTGTACAACCTTGGGTTTTTTAATAGACATCATATCTTTCCTGATAAAATAGTTGTGCTAAACCTACTTTCACAACACTGGTGGGTTTTTGGAATGAGATACTACATGATAGAATCCTTCACAGATGTAAAATACCATATTATGGTGTTAGTATATATTAATATTTTGTTAAACTATAATCTTAAAACATAAATGAGGAAGTTATACAGAAAATTTTCTAAAGGAAAAAGTTATTTATTATCCATCTAACATCTAGAATTAAGATAAATTTCACCAAATTCTACCAAAAGAAACCAACCAACCTATACACTAAATATTGAATCAAATTAAACATATGTAAACAAAAATAAACAAAAAGTAAGTTTCCAAAATTACCTTTATCAGTTGCCTTACTGTCCAAAGAGTCAAAAGCCTTATATAACCTATGTATACATAAATCATTTTAGTAAATGCTAATGTTAGTTCTATACTTGACATAAAATCTGAAACTTCATCTGGAGTTTGTTCTAGGAATATATTCATCATTTGCACCTTGTACCAGAAAAAAGACTATTTATTCTCCAAATAAGTGAAATAGAAGCAAACTTTTGGAATATGACCTACTTATAATTTGTCCATTGTCTGTAACACAACTTTGTATGTGGCTGGCAATGCTGAGGACTAAACTATGATTTTAAAGCAAGTATGGAATAGAGAATTGGTGTTAGATATATATAAAGTAAATAGTACAAAGAGATTAAGAATAAACTAGTATTGCTAAAATTGAACATCTGCTCAGATGAATATACAAATAATGTGCATTTTATGTGAATAAAGTTTGATCTTTGAAAAGATAAAAAAATAAGATATATATGCATATGCATATGTGGAATCATAAATACAAAAAGGAATACTTTTGTTTTAAAGCATAGGCAAAGTAGGAAAGTTCAAAAAGAATTGGAGAATATTATAAAACATTCATTCCATTTAAAGGAATATTTCTCCCCATCTTGTAACTTATATGTACACCTACAGTGGAATTTATAAAGGTCAATAGGCTTCACTGTAAATTTCAATAAGCTTAAAAGCAATCGCAGCTAATTTGAAAATGGGGGAAAAATTCCCACGGCAATAATTTCGCTTTCTAAATTTGTCCACAGGGTGATTTTCTTTCAGCCATTCTAGTAAAGATTTAGGCATGAATAAACCTACTCTCAAAGAAATACTTTAATAAAACAAAATTAACCTGAGGTCACTTTTTTTGCAATGTCAGGTTTTCACAAATGCATTCATTAAAATCTATTGCAAATGTGGACTAAATCTTAAAAATGTACATATAAACAATTTCTTCTCAACCTATGTAACAGGCTGGTATAAATTTGTTTACTTTGAGAGAAAATATTAACTCTGTATGACTTAAAATCCTTCTGGAGTCGCTAGATGCTAATAGGAAAAATTGGGGCTTTGTAATGAGACACATCTGCATACAAATCATGGTTCTACCACTTACAAACTTTATGATCTTAGGCAAGTTATTTAACTCTCTAAGGCTCAGGTTGTTCTAATGAAAAATAGG